TCCAACGGCAAAGCTGCAGGCGACATGCCCTCCGTAAGCTTGATGTATTACGCATCTCTTATTTCACAATGCACCGAATCGGACACTGTAGCCCCCTTCTCGACCCGTCCTATGATGTATTTTCCCGTACGCTTTTAATGCACCATGAAGACAGAGAATTTCAGTATAGACATTGATCAAAGGTTCGCTGCTGGATTCGAACAATACTTCTGTTTTTTTTTCATCTTGCCGGAGGAAAACAGTGGAATTACGTGGGACTTATGGAATGATGCATGGGAATTCACTAATAGCCGCTTCAGATGCTCTCATCGCTTTTTAACAAGGGATTTTTCAGGCTTTTCCTTGGTGGGAGTTTTGCTCACTTCGGCATGTCACTCCGCTCCGGTTACAACGATTTTCAGGAAAATAATAATCCAGTCTGATCTGCGATATCATATTTTTTATAGAGGAGTGGAGAATCAAACCAACAGCTGAAATCAATATTTTTATCATTCGAGTTGCTGTGCTGGGAAACAGGAATCACTCGGTTTCACTGCAAAAGACGGGGATCATTGAGCGAAATGACATCACCCAGATATTGTTTCAAAGATATGATATGAGATTATTGGAGAAACCTCGGAATCAGCTCGGCTCCAGAATTAATGTTCATTAATTCAGTAGTGAAGTGGTCAAACGGTTTAAGTCGATTTTGGCTATTGTCCAGTTCTCAAAGAATATCTCGAAATCTAAGGGAGATAGCAAAATTTTTCTCATAACTAAAGTCCATGAAATTTCCTTTCTGATAATCTTTCTTTTTCTGATAGTGCATTGTAAATTTCATTAGAAAATCCCGAGGACTTGTCCCCTCGATACTCCTCATGAAATAGGATTTTGTTTTCTTTGATCCTTAAATTTTTCGCTACGCAACATATTCTGTTTCTTTTCCCATACTCCTTAAGCGTCTAAAAAAATTCGCAATCTTTATGCAAAATACACGTAATAGCATTTGGACTGAAGCTGTACTATTCTTAAGTCCAAGCTCATTGTGATACTGTTACTCGATGTACTTGATTGTTATATATCTTAATAAAGACCTTTAAAATGTTAATAATCTTCATTAGAAAATCTCCAACAGCTTTGAGCACCGAGAAAAATACCAATAATCTCAATTAATTTCCACTCAATTGAGTTATCCCAATATAACACAACTATGAGTCCAAGCTCATTGTGATACTGTTACTCGATGTACTTGATTGTTATATATCTTAATAAAGACCTTTAAAATGTTAATAATCTTCATTAGAAAATCTCCAACAGCCTTGAGCACCGACAAAAATACCAATAATCTCAATTAATTTCCACTCAATTGAGTTATCCCAATGTAACACAACTAAAGACCGTTCAACCTGACGCAGATAAATTTTCTATTCCCATTGAATCCGATAATCTCAGGGCACCAATACCTCTTTAACATAAGCCGAGGATCTTTTCGAGTGTACGGAGTTGGGGGAACAACTGTTTTACCCGTCCACGGCACTAGAGATGCATTAGAGCAATTGCGGAGTGGCCCTGAGAGGATAGTTGATGTCGGGGGTGGTAGAGAGAGATGCAACATTAATACATCCCGTCCCGCAACTTCACTCCTCCCCCCACCCGTCCCTAAAACCCAGGACGCTTGTCTACGTAGCCCACTCGACCATTTTACTTCTTCATTATGTATGTCCTCTCACGTACGAAAAGTCGCTTCTACGGAAAATATTCCGAGAAAATTCGGTGTCTCCGCGCGACAATTGGAGGAGAGTGAAACCGCGAGTTATCGCAGGGCTAATGGATATTTGTTTGTTTATTTGATATCTAGTGTTCAGTAGAACGTATGAAAGAAGGGTATTTTTAAGGGTTATAAAAAGCATTTAACTGGGGTTTAATCATGGTTTAGTCGGGATTTAGTCGGAGTTTAGTCAGCATTTAGTCCGGGTTTAGCCAGGGTTCAGCCGGGATTTAGTAGGAGGTTAATCAGGGTTTAACCAAGGTTTCGTCAAGGTTTAATCAATGTTCAGTGGAAGTTTAAACGAGTTTAAATCGTCTGAATGCCCAGGACATTTAGGGATCATATTAAGGTATCATGGCTAAGGTATTAAGTTATCTTCTCCCCCAATTTCCTATTCAGACGCAAATTGCTAATTCATTAGCAAAAAAGTAATACTGGTCTTGAGTCTAGTTTAAGGAAAAGGAGTCAAATTAGTTTGCGTCACACAAAAACGGAAATTTCCGATTTAACGAATACAATACTTCCATTCGGAAGCAAAAATTCAATAGAAAAACTAGTGAATTCCCTAGAAAATTCTATTGATATTCTGTAGGAATTCCATGGGGTTTCTATAGGATTTCGATTGGAATTCTATTCAAAAATTCTATTTGTTTTTTGTCCTGATTCTATTAGATNAAATTCAATAGAAAACCCAGCGAATTCGCTAGAAAATTCTATAGGAATTTTATGGGATTTCTATAGGATTTCTATTGGAATTCTATTCAAAAATTCTATTTGTTTTTTGTCCTGATTCTATTAGATATTCGATAAGAAAAAGTCAATAGATTTCGAATTTCGCTTCGAATTTTTCTCTTGAAATTTTTTCTGTTGGAATTATTGAGCCCAATTTTTCCAAGTTTTTTTCCGCTGGTTTTTATTTTGTTTTGCATTACAGAATCCAAGTAGAAAAAACTTAGAAAATTGATGCCCAAGCATTCTTATGGAAAAAACCTGAAGACAAAAATTCAAACAGAAATTCGCAGTCTATTAACTTTTTTATGGAATATCCAATGGAATCAGCGCAAATAACGAAGAGAATCAAACTTTTCAATAGAATTCCAGTAGAATTTCCTGGTGAATTCACTAGGTTTTCTATTGAGTTTTTTCATGCGTGAATTTGTGATGTCAAATACCACTCGGGAGTCTCATTATTAATTGAGTTTAGGCATTATGAGTGATGAATTTCATTAGTGTTGTTCATTACAGCCGGCTGATGAGTATTTACTCGCGGAGCAGATACAAAGGATTGCGCTAATCTGACGGAGGATTATTAAATTGAAATTACGGTGCTAACGGTTTCAGTTATGCAGCTGCGATCTCTTGGAGGAGTTGAGGAGTGATGTGGAAGGGCTCCGATGGTAACGGCGGGGAGGACAGGGTCGATATCGCTGGGGACTGATATCTACTGAGGGTCACCTGCGAGTGATAAAAGCCGGAGGTGATCCGGTTTATGCATTTGCGATCGAGAATTTAGGGATGCAGTGGTGGTGTGATAAGCGCAGAGTTTGGAGAAACTGCCACAGTTGAACGTTGAGAGACTTTTGTTTACACTGTTAAAGATTTTCTACTGAAGTTCCCGAAGAGTTTTGGAAATTTCGAACAAGCAACATTCCCACTCAAATTTTAGGGAAATTTGTCATTGAAAATTCATAATTTCTTGGAAAAATCCGCGATGAAATTTCAGATTAATTATTCTGGGAATATTAATGAACAAGCAGGAAAGTTCGGCGAAATCTCTCTTTGAATTCCAGGTTTCTCTGCATTTTCAAAATTCCTGAAATTCCAAGAATTCTAAAGGATTTTTCGAAAATTCAGGGGAATTTGGCAGTGAATGTTCATTTTCACTTGAACATTCATGTGAATTGTAGACTTTCCGTCTTTTTGCCGCCTAAAATTGGGATTTTACTCGAATTTTCATAGAAACTTGAAATTCCTTGACTTTTTCCCCTTAAATCGAATTCAAGGACTTTTTCAGGAAGTTCAGCCCAATTTTTTCAACAGTGTACAACACTGTTAGAAATTTTTGGAAATTTAAATAATAGCTGCCCTTAAATTTTCAATGATGTGAGCTTGAATCGAACTCAATATCAAATCGTTCATAAAATTCTTCATTTATCTCGGAATTTTAAACGAAATGGGGTTTTTCATGTGAAGCGTTAATTGACATTTCATGACAGATTGCATTCTCCCACTCGTTGGAAAAATTAAACATCATATTCAATTGGGTTTTCAATATATTGCGAATTCAGAACAATGATTGCCATCTTTGACTATTTTCTTTTAATTGCTTATCAATCAATTTCTCAGTGTTTGGCTACGCTGAGAGAACAGTTGGACGAAAATTATCTAGTAAATCGTGGCAAATTTTACTGTACGAAAGATAATTGTGGAGTGGAACGTAATTCAGTGAAAAAATACCTGTTTGCGGAGGATATTTTACAATTTGCTCGGTAAAAAACACATCTGCAAAAATTACCCTCACGTTCAGTAAATTTTTCCGGCCCACCGGAGAAAAATTCATGATTCAAGTTAAAACACTCGCAACGACCGCTCTAAATTGAATAATTTGTACAATAATATTGACTAATTAATACATTTTTAGTCACCTTAATCAATATAATGTTGAAACGGAATCTATTGCGATCAGACATTGTATATCCACATATGAAAAAATCGTATGGATATTTTCTAGACGAATTGCGTACAGAATTTCTATAGAATTTTCGTATATGATATTCGGATATTTTTTATACAAATTATTTCTATACGATTTCTATAGGTTTGATCCTATACGACCCACTGCCACATGTATAGAAACATTTCGTATGGAGTTGCAACATGTCTCTACATTTTTCTCTGGAGCCTTTAGACATCTTTCGTAGGAAAACAAAAATTGATGTAAAAATTTATGTATAGAAATAATTCGTATAGAAATATCCTAATATCATATACGAAAATCATATAGAATTTCCATGCGCAATCCGTATAGAAAATTTTTATACAATTTTTTCATACGTGTCCCACCAGTAGAATTCCACGATTAAAATTTCTCTCTTCCTCAAACTTTTCCTCCCACCGATTGAGCCATCCACATCAATTTATATGATGAGATCAAAATATCTTGACCACCAGCTATCATCATAATCAGCGCTATCAGTCTATTTATAAACTGAACGCCGTAACTGAGGTGATTGCGCGATGGTGCATGGGGACATTAGGGAATCTGGTCCATCTGCAGAAGCATTGTCACAGTAGCGGACCAGCCAGTTGTCAGTCAAGTTCCCTTCGCTGTGTAGTGCCTTAGGCAGAGCAAGGTTTCCCCCCCGAAAATTCGAATTCCCTTCCAACTTCAGTCGAAAAAATAAATATAAACATCTACGATGATGTTTTACATCCTCCATCACGTTCTTCTCCGATTCCTTCATTGAGTGAGGAATTCGTAACTCGTAACTCCAACGATTAGTTGATTCGCTGTAATTTCTTCACCATGACGACTAAAAAAGACAGAATGCAGACCCATGAGGAAGTGCCGGAGCGAGGCACCTGGGCCAGCAAGACAGAGTTTATCCTCTCGTGCGCTGGCTACGCCATCGGAATAGGAAACGTATGGCGATTTCCCTATTTGTGCTACCGAAATGGTGGAGGTGAGTTGTTCCTTCTTGTCCCAACAAACTCCATCCAAAATCGCCATCGAGTGCATTCTCAGTCCACCAATCTGCCCTACATTTCATTGAAGTGCAATTACTCCATTGCACAACCATCACTTCTGTACCCATTACCACTCTCGTTCAGTACTAAAATTAGAAGTGTTGCTAGATTAAACTATTAAACAATTCACTGTCAACTTTCTTACCAATCAACAGCGATGATTAACTCTTTTGCTCCAAACACTTCCTCATTTTTCGCGATTCCTCAATGACTGTTGTACGTGTCTTCAGAAGCACATCACGCAACATTAGGGAAAATAATTTGTCGCCCACGTGAACGTCTGGCGTTCAACATCGAGCGTTTACCGGATTCCGAGTAATTTGGATGATGAGATTCCATCAAAAGCACAATTACGTGAATTTAAAATTGTATTTTGTCTCGGTATTTAGAGTGGACGTGATGATGAGCTTCGCGGTTGACAATTTTTGGATGAAATTTCCTGTATAGTTCTTGGAAATTTTTATTGCATTTTAGTTTTACTGAAATTTCTAGGAATTTTGGCATTTAAAACTCAGAATTTCATGGGAAAGTCGAGGCGGACTGTGAATTTCAGGTTAATTATTTCATGGGAATTAATAGACAAGTAGAATTCCGGTAAATATACACGGAGAAAATTATTTTGTAAATTTCAACAACTAATTGGTGTTTAGTTTTAAATGAAATTTCGCCAACTAATCGTTGAAATTCACCAAATAATTTTCTCCGTATATTCTTGAATTTTCAATTAAGGGGAGACTGCAGTGAAATTCGAAAGTTGCTGGGTCTATTGTCCCTACCCTGCTGATAATTTTAGTACTCATGTTTTACACCCAAAAAATTAGAAAAAATCGAGTTTTAACTTTTTTCATTGAGGACATATGGCTGTATAGCCATAAAATCTTCAAAAAGACCCCTTACCAGGATTTTTTATGGATTGACTTGAATTTTGGTTACCACTTACATAATATAGTCACAAAAAAATATGTGAGATATTCGAAAAATCCCTATTTTTGATTTTTTTGCATTTTTTGCTCCGAATTACTGCAGACAATGATATTGTTGTATCATGCATTTTTTGGGTATAAAAAATAAGTACTAAAGTCATTTGCATAGTAGAGACAACCCCATGCAACTTTCAAATTTCACCGCGGTCTCCCCTTATTTGAAAATTCAACGTAATTTGGTACTGAATATAATATATCTTCATTGAAGATTCAAATAATTTGAGGGATTCTCGTCTTAATGCTGCAAAAAACATTTGAATTGCATTGAATTTTCAGTGAAATCTGAAATTGTATCATTTTTTCCCCTTAAATCGTGTTCAATGTCACGCCCCTAACAATAAGTAGTCGACTGTCCCCGAAATTTCAAATGTTTTGTAACAGCTGTGTTGACACAATAGGTCCAACGATTCGTTGTCCATTAACCTCATGATCTATTATTTTAGTATCAATTGGTGCTCGGTAAAGGGCCCAACAGTCTAAAGTGCGCGAACTCCCTTGTGGAAATTGTATAACTCGTTAACTACACACTGCGTACTATTTTATTTCGGTGTCGAAATAATTTCCGGCTGAGGGAGTACGGACAATTGAGTAAAAGCCATCATTGAATTATTTCAGATAAGCACGTACAACAAATTGACCACTGCCCTTGAACCATCTTCTTAACATGTATATAAGTAATAGGTGTGCGCTGAGGGGAAAGAATTGAATAAGTAAAAGTTGTTTGAATCAACAAAATACTTTTCTGATGATTACTGGAATATTAATTGGTTCAATTGTTTCAGTGTTGAACATTTTTGGCTGAATTTTCCGGTACACATTTTAGAAAATTCTATCAAATCTTAGTTTTACTAAAATTTTGAGGAATTTTGTCATTGGAAATTTAGAATTTCATGGAAAAATCAATGAAAATTACAAATTTTAGATCAATTATTCTCTGAAAATTCAAATATGTTAAGAAATTTTAATCTCAATGCTGTTTCAAAATTTGGAATTTTTTTAAATTCTTAGTGAAATCTGAAATTTAATAATATTTCCCTCTTAAATCGCATTCAATGTCACTCTCTTGAATATTACTACATCGACAGAAAAATTTTCTAATATGCAGACCATACTTACTTGAGAACAGTAAATGATTTTCAATGGCTTAAATCACAGAATGTTTACGAAACATTAGAAGTGCATAATAAAATTATGAAAACAATAAATACTTGAAGATTGACGACTCTTCTACGCGATTTGAGTGAGCTCATTGCCGACAAAATCTTACTTGAGTGAAAGAATATTTTACGGCATGAGATCTTTCTCGGGCCTTGTGAGTTGAGATGCCTGAAAGACTTAAGCGATTGAAGAAATTTTTTTTCACCACGGCGGGCGGAAAGGACACATTTTCCTCCCGCTTAAAGGGCGACTCCTTTATTTTCCCTCCCTTGGAGGAAAATATACTATTATTTACTTCTCTCAAGTAAATATGTTTCAGATATTAGAATTTCCTTTCTGGGTGTATTACCAAATTTCAGTGATATAAATCACTGTTGATCAGGCTTATCCCGACGTGTATCCAGTGTCACCAATAATTGATAATAGATTTCTGGAAATCAGTAACATGTCACTGATTTCCAGAAATCTGTCACCAATTAATGTTTTTTTATTGTTACATATCAACCCTTGATGGGTTATTTACAAAAGAAAATGGTTACATAGTTTGTTAGCTTTGAATAGGTTTTAGGACATTCCCGAAGTATATGATTGATGTCCTGAACACGGAGAGAAATTTTCTAGAAAAATTCTAGTACGAGTACTGGAAAAAAATCACAATCCACCGGCTGTGAAAAACTCTAGTGCCGTTAAGGTAAAATTTCTTCGTATTTCTGGTACAAATTTCTAGGGATTTCTGTGAAATTTTCACAGAAATACGAGGAAAAATTCACGTTTTCCCCAATAAAATTTCTAATGCTGGCACTGGAATTTTTTCCTGACCGTCACTTTGCGCCTCTTTTCCCGTGCTAGCACTAGAATTTTCCTCAAAAATTTTTCTCCGTGAATGTCGGCTCCACAAGTGCATTCCTACCAATTATTGGTTTATATCACTGAAATTTGGGGATAGATTCGTAATAATTAGAGATAGGTCCTTGAAAATCAGTGACATTCACCTGACAAATAGTGACGATGTCACTGGAACCTAACAATAATGTCACTAACAATTGATAACAAAATTACAGAATTTCAGAATTTCGCATTCACTGAATTCTCAACTCAATTACATTATTTACATTAAAAAAGGGAATTTATATAGCGTTCCACATCTTTGTGACGTCGTTCGAAATGATTGGATGGGATTCGGATGGGGTAGGAGGGTAACCGGGATTATTCTCAATATGAAAATTTTCACCAGAAAATTTATACTGAAAAAAAAATAGATAGTCCAAACCGGGATTTTTTCTTTCAAATGTTCAGGAAAAATGTTTGAGGCGTTGTCATAGTCAACGTGATGCCAATATATATTAATTTTGCAGGAGCTTTCCTGGTGCCTTATCTACTCATGCTGTTTCTGTGTGGCATCCCCCTGTTCTTCATGGAGTCCTGCATGGGACAATTCGGCGGGACAGGATGCATCACCATGTTCAAGATGAGCCCCTTGTTCAAGGGCGCGGGATTTGCGATTGTCATTGTCAATCTCATCTGCACGATGTATTACAATGTTATTATTTCTTATCCACTCCTGTTCCTGTCAATGTCGTTCAAGAACAAGCTTCCTTGGGAGGATTGCGATAATCCGTGGAATACTCCTAGTTGTATCAAAGTTAGTGCACCTCTCGAACTCTTCAAACTATGATGCCTCTTGATCTCTTCATTTTTGAACTTATGCTGACTTTAACTCAATTTTAGATCAACGATGTTAGAGTTAAGAACACAACGGAAGTCGAAGGTCTACTGCAGAAAGTCAGTACTCCTGCTGAAGAGTTTTTCAAGTAAATAAATTCATACTTTAGTGGAAATCGTGATCTGTAGTGAAAGACATTATTTTTGACAAGTTCATATTTATAAACTGATCATCCCCAGGTTAATTAGATGATCTAATGAATCGTTATTTATTGTTCATTCATTTCTATTTATTTTTTTATTTTTTTCAGATTAAAGAATGACTTTACTCACTAATTTTCAAATTTAGCAGACATTTTTATTCGGGGAAATTATTCAAGTTTATATGCATTTCATCTCTCACGTAAATATGAACTTAACAGATTTTTTTGCTCCCAGTGGATCGCATTCATGAAGACGAAAGGCATAATTCAATTGACTATTAATTTTTCCCAGTCGACACATTCTTGAAATTTCATCTGGAGTCGACGAAATGGGTGGCATTGTCTGGCCACTTTTCATCTGCAACCTCATCTCCTGGATCATTGTCTTTCTCTGCATATGCAACGGCGTAAAAAGCGTCGGCAAGGTAATTTGAAGATTACAATCAAATCCAGATCTTGTTGAAGGAGTTTCTTAATTGTCGTCCAGGTGGTGTATTTCACAGCTACTTTCCCATTCGTTATCCTATTTATACTGCTGATACGAGGCGTCACCCTTCCAGGTGCCTCCGATGGCATCTGGTTTTACATAACACCGAAGTGGTCGCAACTCACTGATTTACGAGTAAATAGAACTCAATTCATACTTTTGTGATTAAGGCCCGGGTGTACTATCTTTCGAATGTTATCTCAATGTTTTTTTTTCATCTTTCGTCATCTGAAATTGTCAATTAAGTCCTGCATCATGCAGAAGTTTTGAAAAATTATGAATGAATAATAAAAAAAAAGTAGAAAAAATTCTTAATTTTTTTAGGGAGCATTTTTAATTTATATTTAGAATAAGGTGAATAACAAGAAATTGAAAAATGTATCTGATTTACGGCGACAAATGGCAGCCTGTCATCCAATATCATGCAGGGGGAAGACTGATTCCGTAAATATTTTTCCACACTGCACAGAGACATTTATTACGGAAAACGTTCTTTGAAAAAAGTTGTAATATTTTGGAGAATTTTTTAATCACACTTTTATCACATAAAAATGGCAGATGACTACATACCACTGTTTTGAAAATTGAGATTCCTAGCTGTCACTTCCCATGAGGAGTTAGTGTTTTATTATCCACCATGGAAAATAAGAGCTAATAGATCATTTGCCACAGAAAATCAGATATTTGCAATTTCCACTTTTTTCAACTCATTCTGAATCTCAATTAAAAACGCTCTTTGAAAAAGTTCAGCATTTTTAATATTTTTTTTATCATTCTATCATAATTTTTGTGAATTTCTACATGATGTACCATTTAATTGACAATTTTGGATTACGAAAGATGAAAAAAATCCGGATAACATTCGAAAGATAGTACACCCGGGCCTTAAATCTGCATTTATGATCAATTGTTTTTTTTTAGGTTTGGGCTGATGCAGCCATTCAAATCTTCTTCTCTTTGGGTCCTGGATGGGGTGGCATCGTTAATATGGCCAGCTACAATAAATTCAGAAATGACAATAGATTGTATGTTTGTATTTTCTAAAAATACAATTTATTTTACTCTAGTACACTGTTAAAAATTTGTGTCTGAATTTCCCGGTACACTTTTTGGGAATTGTTATCGAATTTAATTACCTCATCATTGAAAATTCAGAATTTCGTGGCAAAAATCAAAGAGAACTGTCAATTTCAGTTCCATTTTTCCCTACAAATGAATAGAAAACCCGAAAATTCCGGTGAATATATTCTTGAATTTTCAGGACGTGACATTGAGTGCGATTTAGGGGGATAAAATCATGAAATTTCAAATTTCACTGAAAATTCAATGTTATTTGTAGCTGAATATTGACATTAGATGGGAAAGTCAAATAAATTAAGTAATTCTCCTCTTTAGACTGCTTAAAATTCTGGAAATTTACTGAATTCTCAGTGAAACCTGAAATTTCATTTTTTTCTAACAGTGTAATTCTCCAAATACAGATGGGAAAGCTTTTCTTCGGGACAATTCCATCTTTTTCAATTAAAAACAGCGTTGTTATCATTTCGGGAAAATTTCCTTCTCTTTTGGTGCAGCACCGAAAGCGTAATAATATAATAATTATTGATAATCCACAGAGACGCGATTTGGATTCCAATTCTGAACTGTGGAACAAGCATCTTCGCAGGTTTCGTAGTCTTCTCGGTCCTGGGATTCATGGCTCACAGAACAGGTCTGCCCGTGGCAGCAGTAGCAACTGGGGGTGAGTAAATCATTACATAAACTATTTAAAATCTGAAAGATAATCGATTCTTTCAGGACCGTCGTTGGCCTTTGAAACATACCCCGAAGCCCTCACCATGCTCCCCTTCCCACAACTCTGGTCTGTTCTCTTTTTCGCCATGCTCTACTTTCTGGGGATGGACAGTTGCGTGAGTACCTCTCCCCAGTTTGAGATATCCCATCAAACAGCAGTTAAACATGAAAATTTATCATTCGTTGTCTGTCGTTCAAGTTCGTGCAAATCGAGGCCATAATATCAAGCGTGACAGACGCGTATCCACATTTGAGAAAACGAAAACAACTCGTGGCAATGGGCTCTATGTTTGTACTCTTTTTGGGATCGCTCATGTTTGTCACAAATGTGAGTAATTTGTTATTTATTTATTCATTGGTAGAAAAAGGTTGAAATTTCAGGGACAGTCGACTTGTCATTTTTAGGGGAGTTCAGACATTCACGTGCGAAAAAAAATTGTAGAAATGTCCCGCAAATCCGCAAGAATATTATATTGGATTTTTATTAGTTTACTGAGAAATTACGCAGCTTATCTGCATGTTTTTGTTCGAATAGAAGTTCAATAAAAATGCACTAGAATTTTTTATCAAATTCGTTAGGTTTTTCTAGGAAATATTTTCGTTCTTTTTTAATTAGATTTGGGGATTTAAAATGAGGAAATTTCAGATTTCAATGAAATTCCAAAATTTTGCGCAAGAACAAGACAATAATTCTCTCAATCAGTTGAATTTTCCATCAACTGAAAATTCCAAAATATATTGACCTCAATTTTTCCGATTTCTATTAATTTTCGTGAAATAATTGCACCCAAATTTACAGTTTCCATTCATTTTCCCATAAAACTTTCAATTTTCAATGACGAAATTCTCTGGAATTCCCTTAAAACTACGACGTGATAAAAATTTCCAAGAAATGTACCGGAAATATCAGCCAAAAATTATTGAAACTGTATTTATTCCAAATATATCGATGAGTAATCTTTTCATCCAGGGTGGAATGTATCTTTTGCAAATGTTTGACTGGTACGCAGCTTCTGTTTCTGTGATATCCATCTGTCTGGCTGAAGTAATCGTAGTTGGGTGGACTTATGGTAAGCATCAACCCCCTTACCACTTCGCTACTGATTTTAATTCAAACTAAATCGCAATGAAACAAACATGAATTAATAATTCAAATTATTAATCTCAATCAATAAACTCAGTTCATCTAAATTATTCTCTCATGAAATATCACCTTTTGCCTTCTTAAAAGACAATAAAATTTTTGTTAAATAATTCAAACAATTCAAAGAAACATCAATCAATAACATCAATTAATTATTCCATTCATTCACAAAACTGTCTTTATTCCTCAGGTTGTGACAATTTTGTTCGTGACGTAGAATTCATGCTAGGTAAAAAATTAAATCCGTGGTGGCCATATTCCTGGAAATACATCACACCAGTTATCCTCACAGTAAGTCGCACTCATTAATAATAAAGCACGTTGTACGTGAAAACGCGATGCAAAAAGGCCTATTTATATCGGAGAGATAAAAAATATGGCTCTTCGTGCCTCATGTCCATTCATCACTTATTATAGAGGCTGTAAAAAGGGGCCGTAGAGAGGGAAAGCCTCGTAAAATGCTGGGGTAAACGAACGGAAATCACGATGTCACTGATGAATCGATTTGTTTTTTATTCGCATAGTTCATCTTCGCCACAACGATTGTCTTCAACACGCGAATATCGTACAATGGTGTTCAATATCCTGAGTGGGCAGTCTTTCTGGGGTGGTGCTCGTGCATGGTGAGCATGCTCTGCATCCCTGGGTACATGATCTACTTCCTCCTGAAGACGAAGGTGAGACTTTGATTGAATTTCAATTATTAGTGGAGTTTTTTTGCTTTTGTGAGAATGGTAGAGTCAAGCTAAGAAGTTGATTCCTTACACGAAGAACGTCACTCCTATGATGAAAATTTTTATTACATCAGAGTTCTACTGAGATTTTAAGGAATTTGATCATTCAGAATTCAAAGTTTCATGGAGATATCTGCGGAAATTGGAATTTTTAGTTAATTATTTCTTGAAAATTGATAGAAATCGGGAGAAATTAGGTAAACATATTCGTGAAGTTGCAATTATTTTGAAATTCTGCGTAATTTGGTACTGAATGCTCATGTTTCGATTCAAAACTCAAGTAAGTTGAGGAATTCTAGTCTTCCGGCTGCTCAAAAATTGAGAATTTCACTGAATTCTCAGTGAAATTTGAAATTTCATCACTTTTCTCACTAAATCCTTCGTCAACTCAGTTGGATCGAGGAAACATTCGGTTGTATTTAACAAACGATTTATTGATGTTAGAAAAACGCTAATAAAAGTGAAGTCTGAATTTCAATAAAAGCTTGATTATGGAAAATCGATGGAAACTGTAAATTTCAGTTTAATTATTCCTTGAAAAAATCTGGAAAATTTAGGTAAATTCACTTCAGAATTTGCAATTGATTACAAATTTAATTAAGTTAAGGAATTCTCGTCTTCCTGTTGCTAAACAAATTGGAATTTAATTGAATTTTCAGTTAAATTTTGAAAAATTCATAATTTTTTCACCCCTAAATTAAATTGAATGTCACTCTCCTGAAAATGACTAGTCAATCATCCAGGAAATTCAATGTTTTTCTAACAAAGTAAAAAAACGAAAATAAAAATCAAATCTGAGTCTAAATAAAAACCCTATTTATGAGCTTCTTGAATAAACCCATTGATTCGATTCAAGTAAAGTTTATTTAATTCAAATAAGCCATTTCTCTGAATCCATGTTCTCAATTCAAAAGAAGAAAATTCTCATTTCAACTCTATTGATCAAAAAGTTTGTTCCATTCAATTAAAAATCGTTTCCTGTTACTTTCTGACGTTCAGGGATCCTTGAAAAAGAGATTCGAGGTCGGCACGAGCCCCACCCCCGAGTGGGGACCTCAAAAGGCTGCAGACAGAGAAGCATGGAAAAGATATCTCTCAGGAACGAGTGACCCAGAGCTCTCCAACATAAATATTATAAAAATCACGAGTCTCTGAAGAATGTATTACAAAAGAATTAAAATTAAAAACATATCTTTCATGGATCTCATACATCAGGGAGGGGTTGGCGCCATCAGTTTTCATCTGTCTGACATGTTAACCTAAGAAATGTAAAATATAAGGTTTCAGGAAATGAATCAAAATTATTTGTGCTGAGTTAATCATTTACGAATAAAAAAAAATTGAAAAATGACTTCTATCGGGAATATGAGGGCCACCCACTTTGAGGAATCGAAGAGTGCGTTGAGTGTCATCAAAAAACCTAAGAAAAAGAAAATGAAAAGTGAAAAGCTCATTTTTTCGTCGACTGTGGATCCTTATGATTATCCTTTGAGATGGTGGGAAGCGAAGCCTTTGAAATATGCGTGAGTAATTAAATCCTTCCAACATTCCTTACATATGCGAATACTTCCCCCATTTTCAAGTCACTGAACTTGTTTTTTTACTGACCCTAAATCACTGAATATTTTGCAGTGATTTTATTATTTAAACTTCAAACCTTCACATTTGATTTTCAAATGTAAATTTGAGTTATCCAACATTTTCAACATTTCAAGATTAAAAACTTCGTTCAGAATTTTTGTTTATATTCACAATTCAACAGGAATTATCTTTATTATGAAGAAAAAATGCTCCCGAAGGTGTAAACATTTTCATTTTTTATTGATTAGAACGGTATGTTAAAACAAGGAGTAACTTTTGCTACCAATTCCTTAACTAAGAAGAAAGTGTGGATTAGATAGCATTAATGGCGCCACAAAAATCATCCGAACGAACCTATTTATATATTAAAATTACTCCCCACCCCCAGGCCACAACACAACTGTAAAAACCAGAAACGAGCAGGAGGATAAGAGCATGAAAAAGCTGCCAACTTTAGCACGAACTATTATTCAACCCTGAACAATCGATTCCCGAGTTTTCCGGTACTCGTTTTCAAGGAGTCAAGTATGTCGAGAGTTTCGCATTACTCGGGAGCTAATCACGCGACGCTTTCTTATAAAAAGTCTAACGGCATTCGCGAAATCCATTCACAGTAGATTATTCCGTGTGTGGTTTGGCAAGCGCTGATCGAAATCACTTTAATCTTGAATAAGTATTGTTTAACCTTGTGAATCATTCTTTTTGCTTTCGGGTGGAGAACAAAGTTGTTGTAAAAAAGTTATCTCTTTTACTCCACGGAAGAATGGAGAAATAAAACCTGTAGTGTCATTTCAATTCATTATCAATCGTGACTAGATTAATACAGAATTTTGTGAAATAATTTTCTTCCAAAAGAAATTGTCAGTTCAGTGAAATAATACATTTTATGTTGTTTATTGTTAAAAATACTCTTACATTCTCTTTTTTGCGTTCGCTAAGAAAACGATCAATAATTCTTCATTTTAATAATTTTTCAATTGAGAATATTTGGTGGAGTGGAACAGATTTCTTTGTAGGAAATTAACCAACTTGATAGAAGGCAATTTAATATCGTTCGCAAAAAGTTTATTTTTATCGCGATCATCAGAAATATCCCTAGAAGAATTCGAACTGTTGACTGTTTATTGTGTTTAATTTTCACTGAAATTTCAGGAAATATTGTCATTGAAAAGTCCAATATTCCATTATTTTTTTATTCAAGTGATCTGAAAATCAATAAAATACTTTATTTTTCGGTTAAACTATTCCGTGACAATTCAGAAAAATCAGAAAAATTCAGGGAGAAATTGAAAATTCACGTCATTTTGTTTCTGAATATTCATGTTCCATTGAAAATTTAATGAAGTTGTTAATTTTACATCTCACTCCCACTGAAAATTCATGAATTTCGTTGAATTCTACCTAAAAATTGAAATTTCTTAATAATTTTTCCCCTAAATCCAGTTCAATGCCATCCCATGAGAATGTCCATCATACTTTCCGTGAAATTTCAAGAAATTTCTAACAGTGTAATTTTCCACTAGAACTAATTTTTCCCCTCAGTGTTGAATTCACAATGAATTTCTCCATTTGTTCAACCTCCCCACTCATGAACCATAAGAATTCTCCTAATAGAATTCTCACAATACCCTCCCTCCCTCTACGGAGAGAAATGATCAGTAAAAAGTACGGAATCGACTCAGAAAATTTAAGTGACGGTATAGTTATTTATCGCAGATAAATTCGCAGGCGATTCAGGTAAAAATTACGGAACGCTCTGGAAAAAATCCGTGACAGTTCCGTAAATTTCCTGCAACTACATTTCGCTCCGGAATAGCGAAAAACAAATAATTTTTATTGAATATTTCTCTCCGTGTCCCAGCGCGTCCAGCCTCTTCAAAACGAGCACGTACCCCTCAAGTGACCCCTAAACAATCGTGCAGCACGCTCTCCACCCGCCTCCCCCAGCCCCTTGATTTCGATAAAATATCTGTTCCCTCCCCTCCGAGAAACTGCAAAATAATTCGTCAAACGTATGTGTACACATCCACCATGAAATCACACGCGGCCGGAATCGCGTGTTTGTGACTGGATGGTGTCATGCCGTCTCGCTGCCTATACAAGATCTATAACGTGACATGATGCCCGGTTACCCACAATCCCGGTGATTCAACGTGGATGGGGATCGCCTGTCTGTGGGGTTACGTGTTCACTGAAGTTCCTCGCATGATCCCCCTGGCTACGACTGTTTCGCGGGAGACGCGGGAGGCGTCGGGTTAAACGAAAATTCACCGGCGCCTTTTAGCACTCGAATCATTTGGGTGAAATCGCCGATAGTGTTCGCTCGTACATACGCTTTCGAATGATGTTGGGGCAAGTGCTTGCCACTGCGGGTAGAAAGGATTTTTGAGTGAAGAAGTGGTTCATGAAAAAATTGTGGAAATGCTGAAGATGATTCCACCGTCTGGTGACGGATTCTGGGCGACAGTGGAGCTACTCGTTCACGCCTTACCGGATGTCGCCAAAGTTGATTACTTCAGTGATGACATTGAGGAATGGCTGGAGACAGTTGCGAATAAAGTGAAGATGCTGAGGGAGAGGAAGAGGAGAATGCACAAGACTCAAGATGAGGGGGAGATTTATCCGGGGTATCGGCCCATCATTGATTGCAGGTATTTTGTACTGAGTGTTCTGTCGCAACGGAGTGTTAAATTGAATTTGTAAAACATTTATAGGCAGTTTGAGAATATTAACTGGAGTTTTTAATGATAATAATGAGTTTCATGAGTCTGTAACAGTTAATTCCATTATATTGTACAAATTGTAACATGCGAGTGTTTCCGGGGTTCAACTCAAAGGTGAAACTGCATCTTATTCTATCCGCTGTGCGACTGCAGTCGAATGTTGAAAATACCGTGCACGGGGACTTATCTTTGATAATAATCCTAAGGGGGTGTCACAGCAACACGTTGACAACAAAATATTCAAAATATTCTCCGTCCAGCGGCTATTCTGGATACGGCAAAAGCTCAATTTATTCAACTTTCATCATTATCCAACTTGTTGCATAAATTCTGATCAAGTTAAGGATATCCAAGGACTTTGGCTATTTTTTCTCCAGTGAAGTCATTTTCTAGATTTGTAGTCAGACATCAGAGCTTTCATTTGAGCCCGATTTGACCCCAAGTTTCCGGACAGTTTATAATGATTTTATTATTTAAACTTCGCAGGTCTGAATTTGAATGTCAATATTGAACCGTTAGAAAACATTTAAACAATCTTAAAACATGAGAAAGTTTACGTTTGGGGAAAGATTGGTGAAATAATTGAAAAATTTCAAATTTTTTAAAATTACGAGCATTTTCTATGAATAATTTATGTACAATCAATTTTTCGAAAGCTTCCTTCTCTGCGCAATTCACGGACGATAAAAAGCGGCTTATCAGTCGTATTCGATGTCTACTTTACCTTCTGCAGCGAAAATAGGGAAGAAAAAATGAATTCTGAAAGGAAAATTCATCTCCTAATGTTTTGTACCAACTGACGCTCTACTTGACACTTTTCAAAATATTGGAATTGGATTGACTAAAATTATCTCTCTTATTGTATCATCAACCCCATGAACTGAGAAGTAACTTCTCAGTAACTCCAACAATTGGATTAGGAGACACAAACAAAATGTTAGACTGTTGCAATTTCCACTTGGGAAATAGAGCTGCATTCGCCCACAAGAACAGGCAGTAATCCGTGATTTCAGTTAACCGCACGTACAGCAGTTACAGAAATTATGGTAACTTCAGCATGAGCCTCCACATTCCTGGAAATTAATTGACGCGGCAATTGAAGGAAGTCATTTGGAGATTACACGATGCGTGACATTGCCGGATAAAATTATCAAATTTACACATGAACAATTGGACTTGGAATTAGGGTCGTGCTATCACGAAACGTGTCCGATAGAGTGAGGGAATGACGACGTGAGGTATTACACCCGAGAGAGACTTTCAATGGATGAGGGAAACGAGGAAATTCAGTTTGACGACACGACTTTTAAAATACGGGATGAAAGGACAGACGTGAGTGGGTTCGTTATGGAGCGGGGAGAAATGTCAAGGTTTTTGGAGGACTGGAGGAAACCCTTTCAGAATCATGGAGAAGACAGTTTCGATTTCCAGGGACATATCACTAATTTTCAGGAACCTTTTCGGAAATTTTCACATGTTAGTTCCACTGAATTAAAAAAAAATCATATTTGAAAATTCAGAATTTCTGGAAAAAATCGATGCACGGAGAGAAATTTTTTAGAAAAATTTTAGTGCTAGCACGGGAAAAGAGGCGCAAAGTGACAGCCAGGAAAAAATTCCAGTGCCGGCACTCGAAATTTTATTGGGGAAAACATGAGTTTTTCCCCGTATTTCTGTAAAAATTTCACAGAAATCCCCAGAAATTTTACCACAAATACCAAGAAATTTTACTTTAACAGCACTAGAATTTTTCACAGCCGGTGGATTGTAATTTTTTCAAATACTCTTACTAGAATTTTTCTAGAAAATTTCTCTCCGTGTGAGAACTGCAAATTTCAGTTCAATTATTCCATGAAAATCAATAGAAATCAGGAAAATTTCAGTAAATATATTCTTGAATTCTCAATCAATTGAAAATTCAGTTTAATTTGGCACGAATTATTCATGTTTCCCAATGCTGCTCGAAAATTTGGAATTTCGTTGAATTTTCAGTGAAGGCCCGCGTGTATTACCATTCGAAATGAAATGTTCTTCAATTGCCATTCAGTTTTACATAGCCCTGAAGAAGTCTTCAAAAATTATGATGAAAAAAAATTGAACATTTACAAAAAGCGTTTTTCAATAATATTGGGACATAATCCCAATAGGGCGGAAATTGCAAATTGATAATTAACAGAGTCTAATGGCTGTTCACTCGTCATGTGTCTTAGCAGCCAATACCTGTCAGATCGATAGTTACCATGATAAATTATCCATTTACAATTTTCTCTCCGTCGGAGGTATTTCCTAATCTTCATTAAAAATGCTCTTCACAAATATTCATTTTTTTTAATGCAGAGGAAATTATGATATATTTTAGATTATGAAGATGGAAAAACAATCGAGATAACGTTCGAAAGATAATCCATCTGTGCCTGGAATCTGAAATTTCATGATTTTTTCCTCTCTAAATCAAATTTAGGGGCACTGTCCTGAAAATTATCAGTGAACTATTCGTGAAATTCAATTTTTTCCCCATATCGATAAGATATATGTCCCTATATACCGTCTGTATAAAGTGATATAGAATCTCACATATGAAATTGTATTTAATCCTTTATATACGATGTATATAAATTGTACACGACTCATGGATTCTCCACACGCATATTTCTTCATGGGGCGGGTAATGATGCACGCAGAGAAATGACACATTTGAATCTAATGAAACTTTTATACAATATGCTTCTATTGATTTCAGCAATATTCCAGTGGAAAAGTTATCAACTTATATATTTATTTTAATGACAATTTATCAATTATATTACTTAAATGATTCATCCATTTTGAATAAATCTTTTATTACAAGCAAGTGAATGATGCGTTCTCTTCACTGAGTGAAAAATAATTCAAATTTTTGTTTTGGCTTTGGAATGAAAGCTTTTTTTATATTCAGATTCAGAAAACATTTGTTTATTCAAAATAACTATTTATTCGGTTCAAATGAATCATTTCTCTGGGCGAATATCATGGATGGAGAGAAAAATAAAAAATATTGAAAAAAATTTCTGCATTGTTAAAATTAAAGAGAATATGAGAGAATATTTTTTGTATAAAATCGAAAATTTGGTGAATTTTCTATTTTCGTAAATATTTCCATAAATACCTAGAAATAAATTTTCCCCGTTTCTCTCATTTTTTTTAAGTAACGAAAAAAAAATACATAAGACATTGTATTGTGATGAAAAATTCATTTATTACACCAGAAGATTCTCTCATCTTTAGAATGTGTGGAGTGCCATGAAATAGTGCTTTGTGAGAGGGACGAATTCACTTTATATGCGATGGAGATGTTTGAGAAAATATGTCTACTATAACAGAATAATCAGATTTTCGGTCGTCACACGTAATTCTCGAGATGGCAGCGCCAGGAAAGTACAATAACTTTTTCAGCACCCGAGAGCATAAATAACAAAATTCTCTGGAGTGGTAAACTCAATGTGCGTGGGGGCTGGAAATCCGAGTGTTCATCCACTCATCTATAATTCTGGAACGACAATTACGAGTTGCGATGGAAGTTGCGAACTTAGAGATGATTTTCTCAAACAAAGTGCTGAAATTCCCGGGAAAAATTTCTAGACTTGTAAACAAAATTAATTTAAAAATTCTATTGAAATATTCCACAGTTCTTCTGCAATTTTTTAAATTATACTATTGACCAGAAAATTATTATTAGATCTTACTTTTTCTATGCACCTCATTCTATTGAGATATTATATAAAGGAATTTCTCAGCGAATTATCCAAGTTTTTTTCACTGTTTCTATTTTGTTTTCTCAATGCAAATGTTCAAATAATAAAATTTGGGAAATTTAAACAAAGAATTTTTATAAGAATGAAGAAGAGAATAAGTTCTATATAAAAATAAAAATGTAATGATTTCGTCAATAAAAGGTTTTCAGCAGAAAAAGAATAGAATTTTCTATGGAATCTCAACAGGGCTTTTTATACTGAATTCTTTCATACCCCAGACTATTAAAAAAAACGGGATTCTACAGATTTTCTGCCATTTTTTCTTAAAATATTGACCAGAAAATAACTATTAGATCTTAATTTTCGTATGCAACTCACTCTATTGAGCTATTTAATAAAAGAATTCCTCAGTGAATTTTCCAAGTTTTTTTCACTGTCTCCATTTTATTTCCTAATGAAAAATGTTCAAGCAATAAAATTAGGAAAATTCAAGCGAAAGAATTTTTATAAAAATAATCTTATGAAAATAAGTTCTATATAAAAATCAAACTTTACTGATTGCTCCGATAAAACATTTTCAGCAGCAAAAAAATTGAAATCCCAACGGAATTTCAACAGATTCCTTAACAATGCGCTGAGTTTATACATTGATTATAAAGTTGGCACCCATGTCTGCATGAAAACCCCACCATATCGCATATGTAACATGTACTTTATTCCGATGGAATGGTATTCCAAAATCGATACTCGATTTCTCATGCACCTGCACTTACCTTCGATCACGCTACATTGGGGCAATATCAGTTTGAGTTGAGTTGTAGGCATCACCGTGCATCGAAATGCGTATACATCAGGCTTCGCGGAGTGGGTGGTTATTTGGCATGACAAGTTCATCATTCAATAAAGAACATACCGCTCTATGCCAGACAGCTGATTCGAGCAGTCGCACGATAAATATTTTGCGATTTTTCAATTTTAGTCAGCGTGCAAATTTCTTCACGTCTAGTCTTTCCAGAGGCCTTCATCGGGATTCAATTGAAGTATGTCCGATTACTTTACATGAATTGACGAATTGTCACTGCGATATCAGACGAATTGTACGAAGAGGACTGATTTAGGGTCGAACATGGCCCAAAAATGGAAAAATAAAACGGTTAAAAATTTTTCTCTCTTATTTCCGATGCACTTTTTGGAAAT